TGGGGCCAAACACACGGAGCTGCTCGCATCGAAACGCTGTGGCCTACACGTCGGTTTTATTCTTTCTGGCTGTAACTTATTTCGGCAATTTTCACACATAGTTTTGACGAAATCATGTTGAATCTCGCCAAGACGATGAAAATGCTCAACTTATAATCCCACACATGAAATGTGGTGTTTAACTTGGCACAAAACACACGTGAGGGCATTTGCACGGTATCGGACTAGTTTGGAGCAAGTACCACAGGATGACTGCTTCGGCATTGTGAATAATCCGAAAACAAGATGGCGACCAATTGACGGAGAAAATGGCGATAGCAAGATCGCCGAAACCAAGCGATGAAAACACCAGTATTTCTGGACGGAAATTTCAGAATCGGAAATGAGACTGAATTGTATCTCAATTTCCACGAAATACTTCCAATGAACGCAGAAGTTCAACACAATGTGATCTTGTCAACACAGCCCCAAATAACCGACCGGAGGTCGCTATCCGCAGTCTATTAGTTGCAGTAGTAGTGGTAGTAGTAGTACTAGTAGTATTAGCAGTAGTAGTAGTATTAGTAGTAGTAGCATTAGTAGTAGTAGCTGTAGTAGTAGTAGTAGTAGTAATAGTAGTGGTAGTAGTAGTAGCAGCAACAGCAGCAGCGGCAGCAGAAGAGAATACTCGCATTCTCCATGGTGCGACGTCGAACGTTATTACTGTTAACGCGATGTTGCCACCAAACACGAGCGATCCTCCTTAAGCAGCCGTTATCGAAGGCAGAAATACGACGCACGTCTTCCACTCGAATCGGCCAGGAATCGCTCCCATACAACAATACTGAGCGAACTGATGCGCTGTAAACGCTGCCCTTTATTAAGAATGAGACGTCGCGACGACGCCACAAGTGCCTCAGATTGACAAATGCTGATCGAGCTTTAGCGATCCGAAGATAAACTTCTTTGTTGATAGTGCTGTCAGCAGACACACAGCTACCAAGGTAGACGAAACTATCTACCTATTCAAGTTGTGCACCTTCGAGTGAGCACGGGAACAGGTGAAAACCAATCCTTGAGCGGTACAGCGCACTTCGATGGGGCGAAGCTCATGCCATACTTAGATGCTTCAACCGCCAAACGATTCAGAATGAGTTGCATACCCTGAGGATCATCACCAAGTAAGGCGATATCATCAGCATAATCTAAGTCGGTCGCGCGCTCACCCGGTAGAAGCTCCAGGCGAAAATGTTGGAAACCTTCTAGAGCACTCGGTATAAAATATTCGATTAAGAAATCGGGACATAAGGCAGCCCTGTCGCACACTGCTGTTGACAGTGAATTGTGAGGATAGCTTGCCATAGACCTTCACTCTGCCGGATGTATGTAGATAAAGTGCTTGTAAGATAGCGGTATAATTTTCTGGCACCCCGTTCTTTAGCAAGCAACGCCATGAAGCAGGTCGATCAACGGAGTCAAAAGCGGCACGTAGGTCTAGGAATGCAATGATAGTGGGCCTGTGATAAATGTGGCGATGTTCGAGGAGCTGGCGGAGCGTGAAGATTTGATCCACGCATCCGCGGCCAGGATGGAAACCAGCTAGTTCTTCACGGTGGTATGATTCACGTACTGGGGATATTCTGCTAAGCAGAATGGATGCCAATAGCTTAGAGGCAACCGAAATATAACTATTTACGCCATAATTTGAACATGAATTGCGAGCGCATTTCTTGAAAATTGAGGCCATAACTGACTGGTCCCAATAGGACTGCACTTTCTCTTCATGTCAGATTTTTGCGAACAACGCGGTCAGCTGGTTAATGATCGCCACACCGCCGCACTTGAACAGCTCCGGAGGAAGATGTCTGAGCCGGCCGCCTTGAGCCGCTTCAAGCGTCGAATTTCGATGCAGATTTTCGCTTCGCTGGGTGGATTCAGCGAGAGGAGCCAGGGTGGACAACGTGGTGTACAGCATGTACTGACGGAGCGCAGCTGAACTGCGGGTGACAGTGTTCGGTCCAGCGGTCCATACGCCTCTGTTGCTTGGTGATCGAAGACTCATCCAACTCGTAAATGACCTCACCGACACCAGGCTTCCTGATGCCAGTGGACCGAATGAGTTGGAGAAGACTGCAAGTGCTGTCAGAGAGGGCAGCATTCTCCATCTCGAAAGCACGCTCAGACCACCATGTCTCGCGATCCTTGCCTAGCCTTTGCTTGAGCAGCCGGTTAGCAGAACAGCGCCGTTTGTTGCCATCTGATTTCGCGGGGGGTAGCTTTGCGGCGTTCGAACAGCTCCAGAGAACCAGGAGAGATCCAAGCCTTTAAGGGGCGTCGAGTTACGCCGAAGCATGTCTCTCTGGTAAGGGTAATCGTTTTCCCATACAAATCCAGTGTTGTTCCACTTCCTGCGGTGGACCGCAAATGTGCGTATGCCAGTGAAGAGTGTTTGCTCGCCTGGACAGAGGAATCTTTTAATCTGTTTACATCAATCTTGTGGTGCTTGCCTATATGGGACCCCAGAAAACACATACAGATTTTCGCGCAGACCAGTGCATGATCTGGGTCAACAGAGGTGGTCCCAAAACCTGCAGACCAGTACGCTGCCGCGCCATCTGAAGCTAATCGCAATGTGATCAACGTGAGACCACGGTTGTGTTGGCAATTAGGGACGCCACGTTGCGGAAGGCTTTTTCGTACGCCTGAAGTTAGTGCTCGAAAGAAACAGATGGTTGTCTTCGCACAATGTGAGAAGCCTCTCTTCTTCGTTATCAGAGCGGTTCTCATCGAGCGCGTGATAACCACGAAGTTGGCCTTGGTGTGGTAACAGGCAGCCAACCTGTGCATGAAAATCCCCAACATGGATAACGACATCGGAGTCTTGGCATTTGTCACGAGCTGTTGTAGATCCCGGTAGAATTCGACCTTAACCGAGTCGCCACTGCAGTCATTTGGGGCGTACACGGAAATCACAAACAAGTTGTGTCTCACTTCGCGGTGCTTGTTGATTGTACATGAACCCCGAAGTCGGACTGTACATAGTCGGCTGTTAATCGGGAACCAGTCCAGTAGTGCCACCCCGGCCTTGCCCCTTAGTGCTATACCTACGCCAGCCAAACCCGCTGAGGCTGCTGCTAAATCTTCAGAAAGAGGCAGGTGATATCTGGCTTCGTGGTTAGTGGGGGATGTCAATGTAAGCACAGTGCTAGGATTTTGTAATCGGGTTTCTGAAAGGCAGCAGACATCAATGTCTAGGGAGTTTATGTTGCGCGCTAGACCGGCTTGCTGTCCATTCTTCATGAGTGTCCGAATGTTGAAACATGCCAAACGGAATGAGGATCCGGGACGAAGGAGAGCCACAGGTTAAACTCTGTGGTCGGCGGTTCAACCTGGATCGCAGCCAGATTGTTGTACAGATGAATAGGGTAATGGAAAGTGAGGATTGTTAACAAACAATTTGCGTGTGATGAAGTCGCGTGAAAGTGACTAGCAGAAACAGTAGCTGGTGAGCACGTTGCAATACAATCCATGGTTTGTTGAGAGAGCGTGATACTACCCGGTTGCCTAAGTCGTGGTAGCGAGTTGACATAGGGGACTCCACCCCAGTCTTTGGCTAAATAAGGTACTCGCGTGACAGCGGGGTGGTGGGAATTTAGGGAATCGCGCCCATTGGTAGGCGTTGACTGAATGTTCAGTTCATGCGTATTTGTTTGGTAGATCACCGAACAGGGGCCCAATACTCCCCGTGAAATCAGCACAATTGCTGTAATACAATGCCCCACCGAGGTGGAACATTGTCGCCGAACACTTTGCTGGAACGGGGTACACCGGAACCACCCAGCTGGCACTACTAGGAGGTAGTTCGGCAAGCCGGCCGTATCGTTTGTGCTCTACTTTCAGACTCAGTGTCATGCAGCTCGGAGCATTATGCTCATGTTGTCTTATGTCAGCGGATTTTTCTTCATCGTAGTTGTAACTATCCTCGCTTCCAATGATCACGATTCCGTGGCATCAACCTGCTACTATCTACCAGAAGACTGGGAACATTCCTTAGTTGACTGGATTAACCAAATCGCGTCCCCTCTTTATGAAGCCTTGGCTGTTTCGTTCTTCATCACACATCAACCGTCCCGTCGATTGTTCTCAATCCCTTAGGTTTGTCTCCATTGAAATTTTGGCCTATATGACTGCGTCTCATCAAAAAACCCCTTTGCCTACTGACATTCAGACAGGCTGGTCCAGAGTGCACCCTGGATTCTGTCACCATCAATGTTCGCTGACTTTCCAAACTTCTAATGAACATCGTCCACCGCGCTCGTAGTCACATCGCTTACATCTCTTTCGAACACCAGTGCTGCTTCAGTAAGCGTAATTGGCATTAAGGTAGGATTTTTAGAGGGTCGCCTGTACCGGAAGCCCAGAGAGCGATTCGAGAAGACGGATCGAGTTGCAGGGAATTTTTATTGGTAAAGTAAAAGATTCCCTGTTATCTAGCTATAAAAGAACTACACCGTGGACGCTCTAGCTAGGGGAATGGAGCATGCGCAGCCCACAAGGCAGTCGCGAGTTGCAACCAAAACCAGCGCCAAGCAAAAAGGGCGATGAGCAAGTCAAGCATTCAAACAGCGATCAGTTCAACAAACCACATCGGTTGCCAAGGTGTATAATGAAATAATTTTAGTTAGAATTTTACAAGGGCAAACCGGGGAATCTCCAGACTTCTACCCATTAGGCAGCCAAGCTCAGGCCATATTACTAGTTTTGTTCCAGGTTTGCAGTTTAGCTTCAGGGCTCTGGTGAAGTCGATGATTGTCAATGATAATGTCAGTAGCAGGGAGGTGTCTATTCGTATCGCGAGTCGACAGACAGCGTTTATCAGGCTGGAACAGTTGCGGATTCTGCTGGACTCCTCTCGTTCAGTGCTACCGTTCGTTCGACCTTGTACAAAACCGTTGCGTAGCCGGTTTGTGTGAGTGATAAGCGCCAACTTCGGTGCTTCAAGTTGGTCAATTTGAATCAAAAGCACACTCCTTGCACCATCGATAAAAATAAATGCTATCATAGGCGATTGCCTGAATATAAAGAATATGGAGCTAACTCCAGTTTCACTAAATGGCGACCAGCATTGGTTGTCTGGACACAGAACTCTGCTCGATTTCACGCGCCCGTTCGCATATCTCTTAGTTGCAGGTTATGTAGCGAAAATTAGCATCTTTAGCGGTAATCCCCATTGTCAATACAGAGCGCGTATGAACTTTATGACATTTCTATGATCCCTATGTGCCGGTCATACTACAACGCGCTGGTGGCTACCCTGCCGGCATGAACGTTTGATAGGTTCCCAAAAAAATGTTCCGATGACAATTATTTCGGGCGGTCGTGAACACCAACATCTCAACTGGGACTAAATTCGGGCGCTCAGAAAAGATGGTCGCAACCTTCCCCAATTCACTGTTAACTAATTTCCATTGCTTCTAATTCAATTCCACGAGCCCCACAGGGGTGCACACGTACACCATCCCTGGTGCTATAAATGTTTACCACGTAAACAAGTATCGAGCTCAGAAACCACATATGCCACTGTCACACTGCAACCCCTTAATCCTTCAACTGCATTACTCGCCGCTGTTATCACGAACGTGTTCGGGAGGGAAGTAAACGTTGTCCCCTTCACCCAAATGTGAGGCTCTGTGCATTTGCTGTACCGAATGCATGCTAGCAGTTATCTTGCGTTGCTGTAAAATGAAGCAGTAGTACCCTATCAAACGTTTTATACAAGAATACCAAAAGCTTAGGGAACTCGTAATAAAAAGCACCAATACAGCGTTTTTGCACTAGGTCTCGGATGTGGCATGCAAGTTCGATTTGTTATCCTCTCGCTCTTTGATCCCCTGTATCCAACGGCGAGTCATATTGGTGATAATACTTTCAGTACATCCGGGGAAACTTTTCCGCCTTACAGCATCTGAAACTGATGTATTATGCAATATCACGGCTTACCGACTATAGCATGGGCTGAGGTCGTGCCTGAAATTCTTTGTTTTGCGTGAACGCCTCGCCAGTTCACTTTCGTTGCAAGGGCTTTCATCATGACTGCTAACAGAACGTGCCTGACGAATTCCTTCAGGGAGTTTCTGCCCAGTTGACCGAAATAGACCGTCTGAAACGTGATACGTTAATTCTGTCCTCACCAAGTTTCGCATATCTTCGCGTTTCTATAGCTGCAGGTTCAGCGTAAGGAGCTCATCGACTGAGTACATTAGTACTGACACAGGATTGATGGACGCTGTTCTGTCACTGATCAAACAGCGATCTAGTAAGTTTAACCGCAATTCCATGGCAAGCATTTGTTCGTCCATACTAACGAACTCATGCGTCAGATGGTCGAGAAGGACTGTAGCGGTCTAATAAGAGATACGTCACAACTTACTAAAAACAATTTTCTTGGAATAAGCCACTGTGTCGGACAATTTCTCCGTAGCTAAGGATGATTGACAGCAAAGGTCACAACTATGACATTATGCCGCGGAAATGTTGTCAACTTAAACTCCCTGTTTGCCTGGGATCTTCCTTTTCCTTGTTACTCTGTGGTGAATATTCCAACTCCAACAGGGGTGGTGGAGGTGTATACTCGAGGTCCACGCTGTATACGGCAGTGCGACAAGACTTCTATACAGGAGTTTCGCATTCTGGAAAACTTACGGGAATGATAAAACTAAAGATAGCTGAATTTGTGACTACATCTTTCGTTTTCCGCCCCGCTCCAAGGAGCAACTTGTGTCGCTGGACGGTGGCTCCGATAGTTCAAGCAACGCAACCTCCAGGCGTTTGCTTTCGCGTGTTCGTCTAAAAAGTTGTTTAGTAGTGATATGGCATAGATTTGCCAGTGGCTTTGTGAGTCTGCACTTTGTACAGTAACAATGAGGTAGGTACCGGACTGCCGTTTAATATCGATATCTCAATTTGTCTGGAAGGCAACTTAGGCCACCGCACTTGTGCCTCTCCCACCATCTAGGTGGAATATGCCACCGCGACGCTGCCATCTTCGAACTCAGTCACGTGATAACTCTAAAAGTCTACTTCCTTTAATGGTCACGTATGAAAAACTGAAGGAGAGCTAGAGTAAAGCAGTTAGGGTAATGGTTTATTTGCTAACAATGCCGAAAAGCAGATAGATCTTCTTCCGTGACGCCGACGCCAAACGGTCACCTACTAACAATTTCAACGCTGATGTAGAAAATGCGCTTCGTGGCTTTCACCGCATATAACCTAGACCGGAAGCACAATCACCATTCCTTCATGCAACTTTTCGTATAACCTTCCCAGAAAACATTTGCTGCACGCGGGAAATGGTGAAGCAAATGTTAGGTTTCCTTCGGAAGCGACGTTGGTGATTATTCCCCTTCACGTATTACTGCTAAACTGTGGTATACTATTCACTTACTGATACGGGGTCCATTTGGGTTATTTGACAGATACACGGTAATGTGTTGGTTTCCCCACTAGCACATTCCATTTCCGGTCAGTGCTTGAACCTTGACTTCAGCGGCCTACCCACTTACAAACGTCGAGTGCGATTGATTGAGAAAGTTCAACGCCGATTGCGGTACTCAGATGTATTAGTGAAAAATGTTTAAACTAGAATAGTCTACTTGAGCCGGTCGTTAGTGCACAAATTCATTCGTGTTTTAAAAGATTACCGGACTCCTATTTGATTGGTAATCAAGGATCTAGCTGCTTTTACTACGACTGTTGTGGTACCTTATGGAAAACCCTCACAGCGGCTTGAATCGTCCCTGCAAGGAATGGAAAGCGATGAAGATGATAAAAAATTCCTTCATGCTCAATAATAACCGTAACCGTCACATAAATAAGGAATATCTGAATTTCCTCTTTTTAGTTGTAAAACAGCGTTTGTCAAATGATAATAGAAATAAACGAATGGCTACGTACGTGATCCAAGTATTGACCGAGTTTTTCTGTGGGTACTGAATGCGCATTCCATTCGGATATCGAATGTTGACTTTTCTAGGTGCGAGATGTCAAAGCACACTTATGTCTTCAAAGATGTTGCGGGATGTTGCCATCTCCCCTTGAGTGTACGTTTACCAATCATCCATTCAATAGGAATCGTGAATAACGACCTATCTGATAACAATAAATAGGTTGCAGTAATAGTTTAACATACCAGATAGTACTAACCGAATTGTACTTTCTCCTACATGCATCCGCGCGTGAACGAATCTCCGGACCATTAAGATGTGTACCGCTTCTGTAAACGGTAGTCTTAAGTGTAGCGCATGTACAAACAGGTAGTAACACCTGAAAGTGAAAGTATTATGATGCGTAAACTGTAAACATTTACCATGCTTCGCGACTGCAGCAACATCTTCAACGCCAACTATACAATATGGGGTAGAAAACAGTGCCTCCATGTAGTAGCAGAGCCAGACCATTGCAAGCTACGTGGCTTCGAGAGATCCACTTTTGTGGAGTGAGTGTACTGGAGCACTTGTTAATATGTAGATTTTCGGAGGACATGGTTTGTCCAACAGTGCCTCGCAGTGCATTTACGACTGGACACATACCTGTAGCAGTCTGGAGATTCCCCGGTTTGTCTTTGTAAAATGCTAACTAAAATAATTTCATTGTACACCTAGGCAACCGGTGTGGTTTGTTGAACTGATTGCTGAGTTCAAATGCTTGACTTGCTCATCGCCATTTTTGCTTGGCGCTGGTTTCGGTTGCAACTAGCGACTGACCTGTGTGCTGCGCATGCTCCATTCCCCTAGCTAGAGCGTCCACGTTGTCGTGCATTTATAGCTAGATAACAGAGAATCTTTTACTGTACCAATAAAAGTTCCCTGCAACTCGATCCGTCTTCTCGAATCGCTCTCTGGGCTCCCAGTACAGACGACTCGCTAGATGACTCAGAGGTTCTGGTATCCACAACGATCGACGGGGCACCTTGTGCAATTACTGCCTTGGACTGAGTAATCATGGCCCCATCAGGTAGCATGGCTAGCATCTATCCTATTTAGCAGTGAACCAGTATCATCTAAAGGGAACTCCGCATTCGTGAGGGATGACGCAGAATGTTCAGCAATGTAGCGGAAAAGCTGGGAAGTTGGCATATTCGGCCCACCCACCATGCGTCGCAAACGCTGGAGCTAGTACTCGAGGGGAAATCCGAGAATTTGTCTATCGGTCCGAAATGGCGCACATCATCACAAATGTGCTGAAGGCATTGCAGTTAAATATCAACTCCTGTAGGACTACTTAACACTAGTCCGAGTCAGTGCGCGAATATCATAAGGCAAATGGAGTCGGACACAGCGGACTGTATTCGATGGGCTACAATAAGAAGCGGAAGGATGAAGCGAGACGAGAGCGAACACGTGAGCGCTAGGACTTACAAGGTGGTCAAGCGCAGCGTCGTATACGCCACTTGCGATCAATGATGTTTCGATAGTGTGGTTTCGGTACACAAGGTTGGATGTGGTTGGATGTAAACTTGGGGCCATCGGGAGCGTGTGAATGCTTATTAATAATTAAGGTTATTACTTACAATGCTAAGAGTTGGATTTTGAATCAATATACTAAGTGGTTTGAATGCGTTACGGTGTTTAATCATTTTCCCGCTCCACGCGTAGCAGTCATGGTGGATGACTACCTTGAATTCCGACGTATGCTCAAGCGTCCTTATCTGGACTTCGCATCGATGAAAGATGAGCTGAAGGTGTTTCACATTGCAACGGCGACATCGTTTATTCGTCGTAACGTTATGACTGCAAAGGCGTATCAAAGGGAGACTGGACAGGTGCTACCAAAAGGATGCCCGTACGGTTATCTTCTTTTTGCATGCGTGCATAGGAAGCGCATTAATGTTGCTGGAAAGTGGTAAGTACATCGTATCTCTCTGATGAAAAGATTATTACAGGTACCGGTATTACAATTGTCCTGCTCGTTTTTCAACGACGTTTAAGGGCGAATGTTACGAGGTTGGAAACGCGTTTCTATGGCATTCACACAGTTTTCATGTTGGAAAGCCTTGGCTGTATGCGAAACGTCGGCGGCTAACAGCGGATCAAGAACGCATGGTGCTGAACTTAATGGAAACTTTTCGTTGGACGTAGGAGATGCGTGCATATGTGCGCCAGAAATATAGCATTCGTTTGACTAGGCGGGATTTGTGTGACATACGGCGGCACCATCAAAACGCTTGCGTCACGGAGGTGGAAGAGGTTACGCAGCTGTTGAAAAGAAATAGTCAGGTTAAAATCATGCATGAAGGAAATGAGGTTCGGTACCTGTTCTTCGTGCCCTAGCAGATGCTGGAGTTGGTGGGCCAATACGGTGAGGTCAGTTTGGCGGACTCCGCATATCAGATCAATTACGGCAGTTGCATCCTATGGCATTGCATGTTTGTGGACGTCATCGGCCTTGATATGAGCTTTTTCATGCGCTTTTGCCAAATGAGACGGAGGCTACTTACGGAGAGACAGTGAGGGGTATGTTTGAGTTGGCCACCGCGGTTGCCGGTGCTCGAACGTTGGTGATGGACAAGTGCGCTGCTCAAGTTAATGCGTTTTGCAATACTACAGTTACTTCAACGTCGTCTGATAACTTGTGCCCAGTCTCATTGCCTGCGGCTAAGCCGGTTGCGGTTCATGTAAATTCAAAGACCCATGGGGTAAATACACCCAGTCGAGGTGATGCTTTCATGGATAGCAGCGTGATATTTCGTAACGCGGTTGAATCCACTGTTGCACCTCCTGCTGAACGTACATTGGACGACCTACAGTGGTTTAAGATGTGCGTAACGAACCTTCTTCTGCCTGGGTTTCCCGGTGTTACTGTCAGGAAACTGACTAGATTGGGTAATGTCCCAGTTAACGCCCCAAACCCTCGACCCCGTTTACTTCGGGTAATCCTATCCACCCCGGATGAACGCAACACGCTGTTGTGGTTTTCTTCAAATTGAAGGTTACTAATGTTAGCGTTCAGCCAGTCCTCCCATTAGCGGATAGGCTGAAGCTAAAAGAGGCTATTCAGGACCTCAAAACCAGGCGAACGGCCGGTGAATAAGGTCTTCATTTGACGGGTTTCCGGGTGGTCAGCCGACGGCCTGTTTCCGCCCTACCAGTGCCAGTACTGGTAGCGCACGACCTAGGGCTTGACAGTACGTGTACCTTTAGATAGT